CATGTGGGTTCAGAACAAAATAAACCCCTAAATTTGAATTTTGTTGAGGGTTTTATTTGCTTTACATTGTTATTTAAATAGTCCAATCATCTTTTAGATGTTTATTGTATTCTGCATGTGGTTAAAGCCGGGCATTAGAAAGAATAAATTTCGTTATTAGAAAGAGGGAAAAACTGAGGTCCGTCTTATTTTACAAGTAAAATAAGATTAGTTAACTGATCCAACTTTCAAATCTTGCTTTTCCTTGCGAGCTAGCATGTGCTCAGGAGAATTTTTAAACTTCTACAGTTTTGCTATTAAAACTGTAATAGTTCCTCTGAACTGGTCATAAATTTCCAAGCAGGGAGAGAGTACGTCACCCTAGTAAGTTAGAGAACTCGATGTTTGAGTTACGGCCACTGATATTTTTCTAACGTTTAAGACCTGGACTAGTTTTCGTTTCTCCTGAAAAGCTGGATTCGTTCGGAAACTGCTGATGGCATGAACCAATCCGTGAGCGGTCGTTTCACGCTCCATAGAGCTTAATGCAGCGATTACTTCGTATGCTTCAATGGCAATTCGAGAATCCCAAGTATTATTTAAAAAACTCTCACGATCCGTCATATTTGCCAAGTTTTCCTGCAAAAATCGATGTTACTGTATTTAAGAAAAAAAAAAACGTGCAGGACTAAAGTTTTTAGATCGCTAGCTATTCGCACTGCCTTTGCCTTGTTTCAAATTTAAGGTGTCAATTTTTGAAATCCAGAAATAGTAAAATACAATAACCTGGACAATAAGATCCCATGCAGTAGCATTGCTACTCAAGTTGCGGAGGTTAAAGTGACTGTAAGCTTGCTCCTTTGATATGCAAATTGTTAGGTTTGGCATGACCATCGATTCATTGAAAATCATTTTGAATTCGGTTTGCTTCGGATCATCCGCAAATTGTGCACACTAAAACACACTCGAACAGACTCGCGCTAAAATCGCAAGAATTTTTTTAACAACTCTTCTTCGAGATAAAACCAGGATATTTTTCCAAAGAAAAGAAGTCGAAAACTGGAGGAAAAACAGAGCAGCATTAATTGTCGAAGTAAATTTAAAATACCTCTATCATTACAAACAAAAAAATTCACCAGCTGTATGACGTCGCGGATAGTAAGGCCGGCCAGGAAGGCAATTAACAACCAGAAAAGATATTTGGTCAATTTTCCACCTCTGCACAAATTAATCCAGTTTGGGCCTTTATGATACCGATTACCCAAAACAGCACTGGTCTGCTTCATCATCCTAAGCAAATGCAGACTTATCAGTCCTGCAATAATTTCTGGTAACTTTCCTCGCTGCAAATTCCAATCGTCCCGCGTCGCACTTTGCTGTAGCTTAGACAAGGTTTTGCTCACTTTCACACATAACCACACTTCACTTTTCGGTTTACTTTCTTGTCACTTCGAAGGAGTTCACCCATCCGTCACCAAATTCAGAATTTTTAAAAGTGCATTAACAACTGTCTTGCGTAAGAACTCATTTTCAAAAATGGCTCACACTCTGTCGAATCGATAATTTTCAGTTCAC